CCTGTCTCTAAATACAATACAGAATAGGGCTGGCCTGGGGCTCAGTGGTGAAGCACCCCTGATTGCAGTTCCTGGTACCAAAAAAAAAAAAAAAAGATATCAGAATTACGAGTCCAGGGGCTGGGGATGTGGCTCAAGTGGTAGCGTGCTCGCCTGGCATGGGTGCGGCCCAGGTTCGATTCTCAGCACCACATACAAAGAAAGATGTTGTGTCTGCCGAAAACTAAAAAAAAAATAAATATTAAAATTCTCTCTCTCTCTCTTAAAAAAAAAAGAATTACGAGTGCAACGTAATGTAGCATATTTTTAGTTTGTCAGCTAACGGTTAAGGGAAGAAAACCTAGATCTCTTCATACCCAGAAGAGCCCATGAAAGTCCAGAGCTCCATAGGTGGCTGAGGGGCTGGGGGCCATGTTCTTGAAGTGGCTCAGCGCCCTCTGGTGTCCAGCGAGTACCCAGGCAGGAAAGGAAAGACCAATGTGTGTCCCCAGCCACAGGGGTGCCAGCCCCCTGGGTTCCCCCTCACAGTGGGGCATTTGAGGCAGGATGAGGTTTTCCTTCAGGACTGTGGTGCACACTGCAGGTCATGGCTTGGCCCTGGCCCTCGCCCGTCAGGATGCCAAAACCTGAGTCCCTCCCTGTCCCCCAGCTGCCCCTAGGAGACAGGCAGCTTCCCATGGAACCACGTAGTCTGGAGACCACGACCACGTCTTAGAATAGACACCTGGAGGGAGGTTCTGAGGACTGAGTTGTTTGACCCAGATGTTCAGATTTTACCTTCTGCCCACCCGCCCCACACAGGGCTTCCAGTTGCTCAGTTTACTAGGATAAGGATTTTCCTCTTAAAAATAGACTGTCTCTTGTTTACCACCCTCCTTGTTCTCGTTTATTTACAAAAAATTAAAGTGTTTTACGGTTTAAAAAAAAAAGTAGAGGAGGAGTCGTCTCTGGTCAGCCAGTGTCGGTTGGATTCTGCGGCCTTCTCTGAGCACAGGCCTTCCGCCATGCCCGAGGCTCATGTCCACTCCCCGTGGGTCTTCAGGACTGGCTGTCTGTGCCGCGTGAGGTGACCACCCCTCGCGGCTGGCTGCTGCCTGAGTTTGTTCCCACCAGAGGGTCCACTCCACAGCAGCATCTGCCTTGCTGACCACAGCACCCTGCGGAGTGCCAGGCCCCGGGAGTGACAGAGGGCAGAGTGGCACCTGCTCCCTGCCTGCTGGCCTGCCCTCCACGTCCTTCCACTCAGGAGCCACTGCTGGGGAACTGGCTGCCATGCTAGTGACGTGGGCAGTGCCATCCTCGGCCCCTGCTCTGGGACTGGGCCGGCTGCCTCTTCTCAGGCTGTTTCTGACCCTGACAGAGAGAGTGGTGCCCACGCACCCTCCTGAGGACGCGGGAGATGCAGCCTACTGGCCACCGACACCCCCACGTGGTGGGAACACCTGTCTGTAACCGGTGGCTGCTGCCCATGGTGACCAAGACAGGCATGGCATGACTGTCCCCAGCATCTCTCGGCTGGTCACAGGTAGTGTCAGAGGGGGGCCTTGGTGGCAGACGGGCTCTAGAGCATGAACAATGGCTTCTTGGCACCCGTGTCTGGACCCTGTCAGAATGCTCCTCTGTCCCCGGTCCCCCAGTTGGTTTTGAGGTCCTGTCCCCTGTCCTCAGGTGGGTGTGGAGTGTCCCGACAGTGTCCAGCCACTTGGAGGGGCTGGCTTCTGCTCACTGGCTGACAGAGGAGGCCTCAGCCTGGATCTGCTCCAGGACGTGGTGCGACGTCCACCCGCTGGGCTCACGTCACCTCCTGGGTCAGCGCCCTGAGCCCGTCTTTCTCTTCTGACCATGTTGCCTACACAAGCCCCCGTCCTGGTCCCCTGAGCTGTGCCCTCTCCCCTGCATCTCCCCACCCCACTCTCTGCCTGTTGTTCCAGATGTCATCTTCCCCAGGATGACAGGAGGGGGACCAGGTGCCATGTCTTGGGCTGGGCGGGGCAGGAGGGCAGCTCTGGCATCTCTGCTGTCTGTTCTGGTCTCCAGGGGGGCGGCCGTGTTATCTCCCCACCACCAAGACCCGCGCCTCCAGATAAAGAGCTCCGGGTTGGGGCGGTCCTGGAAAGCTGCTGGTGACTGATAACAGCCCTGCCGGCAGCCGAGGGAGCCTGGAGGGGGCAGCATGCACATTCCGTGCCTGATTGTAATGAAGCCCGAGCCCTGGATCTGCCTGTGTGCCACAGTCCACCTCTCAGCCACCGATATCCACGCCTGGCTTGGCCTCTAGAGGTGCAGCTAGCAGTGTCTCAGGCAGGTGGCCTTGAGTCTCTCGGGCCAGCTGTGGTCCTTGTGGTGTCACGGTCACTCCTGGGGTGGTGTGGGACATCAGGGATCAGCGTTTCTCAGTGATGCACAAACAGCAGCTCAAGAGCATCCTCAGGAGTAAAGGCCCTGGAGCTGAAGGCCCAGCCAGGACCATCTAGTTCAGATTGGAGACTGAACTGAGCTTCAGAGAGGCTGCTTCACTGTCCTGAGGTCACACAGCTCATTAGAAGCACACCCAGCGCACAGGACTCCTGTCCCAGCACCTGAGTGTAGAGCCGTGATTGGGGTCAGTCCTCTCAGGTCTGGATCCTGGCCTCACTCCTGCCAGTGGGTGAGTCCTGTAGCCTGTCTGTGCCTAGGTCATGAGACATGAATAGAAGCTTCCCGTTGGGTGGTTTGAAGGTCTGACTGGGACAGTGAGACCCTGCAGTACAGGGCCCCATGCTTGATGCACCTGCCTGCTGCGAGTGTGTGGGTTGGGGTCCCCACTCCTCCTGCTCCCCGTCGCTCACTTGGTGGACGGTACTGAGCGCCTCCTGTCTTTGGTCCTCAACATGCAGACAGAGCCACTTGGAGCTGTCCCCAGCCAGGCCCCAGGGAGACAGAAGGGAAAGGGAAATACAGGGTGGGATGTGACTTAGAGGGTTTTTGTTGTTGTTGTTGTTGTTGTTTGTTTGTTGTTTTTTAATTATTTTGGCTTTAAGCACAGAGGGCAGTGAGGTCAGGCCTGGGGTCAGTAGGCTCCATGTGTCCAGACTGACACCCGGCTTCTGCAGCGAACCCCTCAACGGCTCCATGCCCCATTTCTTCCTTCTATAAGTGGAGCAAGAACCAGCCTAGCTGCCACCTCGGGAGGCCTGGGGGACTGACCATCACTCACCCCTCAGAGCGACCCAGGTCTCCACATGGCAAACTTGGGAAGACAGTGTTGGGCAGGGCTATGTGATGGCTCAGAGCCTGGCTGGCAGCCGAGGTCCCCAGGCCCTCAGCCACCCATCTGAATGTGCCATCGGGATGGGTGGGTGGCGTGGGGGCCTGGCACAGGCCAGCGCACTGGGAGCAGCACCTGATGGCAGTCTGCATGCCCCCTGCTCCCCGTTCCTGCGGTGGGCGCACAGCCCATAAGGAGCTGCGCCTGCGCAGGTACCACCTGGGAGTGTAGGGGCTGCATGTTCCTCTTTCCAGGTGTTCTCCAAAGTGGGGGCCATGAGGAACTGCTCCATCTCCAGGAAGAAGAACACAGCAGGTACCCTGTTCTTGTGGAAGGATGTGGTTCTGGAGAGTCCACACCTTGGGGGTGGCAGGCTTATGCAGAACAGCCCTTCCTCTGCTGGAGGCCCCTGCTGTGCTGTTGGAGAGGTCCCTGACCCAGGCTCTGAGTCAGAGCCTTTGTTGGCCCTCAGGTGGTCCTGAGCTGTGTGAATGATAGGCAGCAGCAGCACCCATCAGCACCCATGAGCACCCAAGGCCTCCCTTGTTCCCACGCCTTGGCACCCAGGAAATCCTCAGGCGTAGCAAAAAGGATGGATTGTGGGCTTTCCCCTCAGTTCCAAGGGAAATGACCCCGATGTAGAACTTCTAGAACATTCTACCACATCAGTAATACTGCACCTCCATGGCTAGTAGGTAGTGGGGCAGGCATAGGCCCCCTGGCCCCTCCGTCAGCCCTGGACCTTGTCCAGACGCAGTTGTCCTCTGACCACATGTTGTCCAGCCCTGAGTCTTCAGAGCATGAGCAGGGATGGTCCTTTGTCCTTTTCACAGCCATGCAGTCCTGTCCAGAAGCCCTTGGCCTTGCAGAATTGGTGGGTGCAGAATTGGGTGCAGAATTGGTGTGGTGCAGTGTGAGTCAGCTCAATACTTTCCTGGGTGCCTGTGTGTGTGGCCGTAGTGACTGCTGCTCCTTCATTCCCAATAGGCCCTGGGCCACCAGGTAGTGGGCACCCAGGACAGTAGACCAGAGGAGGTGCCATCCCTGTCCCCAGGCACCTGCAATAGCAGGGGGACATATGAGCTGGTGGCTTCAGGGCAGGAGGCTGTAGCAGGAGGGCCATGGTAGGACTGCGGTCTCCAAGTCAGACTGGGGCCTGGAGGCAAGGAGGCCAAGCAGCCTGGTGGCAGAGGCTGAGGCGGGAGGTGCCCTGCAAAGGGAGGCAGACTCCCGTTGAGAAGTGGCTTCTGTGCCCGGCAGAGGTTTGGACTGTGGCTTGGTGGGCAGCCACCGAGAGTTTTAGCAGACACTTCTGTGGCATAGAAGTTAGAGTCCCTTGCCTCCGACTGCTCAGGCTGCTGGAGCGGAGGGCCACGCCTGGGTCCTTCATCAGCAAAGACAGCCTGCCTTAGGGTTCTGGAAGCCAGAAGCCCAAGGCTAGGCATTGGCAGCAGTGGCTCCTTCTGAGGGCTGGGTGGGGAGGGGCGGCCTGTCCAGCCCTCCCTGGCTGTGATGGTGTCTCTGTGCCCACAGGGGGCTTTCCTGTGTAGGCCTGTCCTGGGTTCCATCCCCACACACCTTTTAAAGGACACACACACACACACACACACAGAGTCAGAGAAGCAGACCCCCCTGGGATGGGCTGCTGGTGCTCCTGCCCTCCCACCTCGGAGGAGTGGGGAGCCAGGTGGAGTCATGGCTCTTGGCCCTCCCCAGGGGGACTTTCTATCTGAGACCTGGAGCCAGATGGGAGGGTCCGGAATCCCCACCAGGAGGCAGCCCTGGGTGCCCGACAGCGTGTGGGCTTATCCTGTGCACTAGGTATGGAGGGGCTGTCCTGGTGGAGGGCCCCCTGGTCACCGAGGTGGTCATCCCTGTCAGTCCCGCTCCCTCCCGAAGGCGGGATTCCATGATGAAGTTAATCCTCATGTCAATCATCGGTTAATTAACAGTCCTGAGCCTCAGGTGGCGGGCTCAGCGAGAGGGCTAGTCAGAAGGTGGGCCTGGAGAGGAGCCATGGGGGGGGGAGTGGAGGTCCTGGGCTCACTCTGTGCCCCACTGGCTGGGGGCTCCCCCTCTTTCAGGGGTGCTGCTTTCCATGGGATTTGGATTTGTGGAGTACCAGAAGCCGGAGCAAGCCCAGAGAGCCCTCAAACAGCTGCAGGTAAGTGGGGCTCAGAGCTGAGGTCTGGGGCGGGCCTCGGCAGGTGGCAGGGGCTGTTGGCCTCTTCTGCTGGGGTATCGCGGGCGCTCACGTCCTGCTGGCCCATCCTTCCGGGTTCTCCAGGGACCACGCCCAAGAGAATGAAGAGCCCCTCACCCTCCAGGGTCACTGTCCTTCATCTTTTCCACTCACACTCCTTCCCTGCGGGCCTGGTTTCTGACAGGCACCGGGCTAGGCCCAGGGAGACCTTCCTCTTTCTGGGGTGAACAAACAAAAGCCCAGATCATGAGAAAAGCTTGGATACGGGGGCTGGGGACATGCTCAGTTGGTAGAGTGCTTGCCTCGCATGCACAAGGCCCTGGGTTCCATTCCCAGCACCACACACAAAAGGCTTGGATAAAAATAACTTGAGAAGTGGGGCTACCTAAGGTCATGTGGGCAAAGGGGGCCTCTCTGAGGAGCAGATGGTTGACCTGACCCTACTGACATGAAGTCAACTGCACAGAGACCTGGAGGGAAAGCTGTATAGGAGCCGAGAACAGCAAGTGCAAAGGGCCTGTGGCATGGACTCTGAGGTTAGAGTAGGCAGAGTGTGTGGTGGGGTCAGGTGAGGTGAGAGGTGTTCAGGACTAGGTTCACAGGCCCTCTTAAAGGACTGGAATCCAACCTGAAGGCTGAGCAAGACTCTGGTGGGTTTGGAGCACACAGGGAAGGGTCTCATTTATCCTCTAGGATGGTCTCCAGCTACTGTGTGGAGATGGGATGAGAAGAAGGGGAATAGGCAACCCTGTGGTCACCAGAGCTCTGTAGCCTGGACCAGGGTGGGGGCAACAAAGGTGGTGGAAGGGGCTGAGAGAGTTTGGACAGATCCACATCCTGTGCTACCGCCTGGGCCCAAGTCCTGGGGTAAATGGAACCCTTGGCAGGAGGAGGGAGCTGTGGCCGCAGAGCACATGGCCTGGGATCTCTGCCACCCCCTGGGGAGCCGCCCTCACTGGCAATGACTGCAGCTCCCTCACTGAGGACCACGGTGCTGGGACTGGGTTCTCAGGGCTGTGGACACAGTGAGCCCACAGGCCCTATGCCCTTGAGTGCTGTAAGGTCAGTGCTGCCACACGGCGCAGGGGACATCATGAGCCTGGGTCTCTGTGGCCGCCAGCTGCTGAGCCATTTTGGGGAGGCCCCTCTGTGCCTGCCATCCCCACCCCTTTGCCAGGGAGCAGGCGGTCTCCCACCCTCTAGCCACGGCCCTGCTTTGGGGACACGCAAGGACACGGTGAACAGTGAGGACAGGGGATGAGCTGTGCTATCTCCTCTCCAGGGTCACATTGTGGACAGCCACAAGGTGGATGTGCGGATCTCAGAAGGAGCCACCAAGTGAGTCTTCAGTGCCTCCCCTTTCCCATGACGCCCCTGTTCTTTCTGTCCCTGGAGCTGGCCTCCCGAGGGTGTCTCAGCCCTTCCAAGTCCCATGTCCCTTCCACCTGCCCCCCCGCCCTCTAGGGTTCTTCCTGATTGGGGTTGGGGGTCTTCGTCACACCTGCTCCCTGCTGAGCTGGGGCAGTGCTGATGACTTGGGGGATGTTTCATGCACCTTCTTTGAACCCCGGGGATTACGCGCCGCTGGAGGTTGGCCAAACCTCTCTGGAGGCTGTGGCCCTCGCCCTTCTGGGCTCTGGGGCAGCCTTCCTCAGGCTGCACAGTGGTGCCAGAGGCCTCAGCAGTTCAGCAGGTGGCAGGTGGAGACAGACGCGTTGGCCCAGCGACCCAGGTGTCCGGAGGGCGAGGTCTGCTCCTGGGCGTCCTGGGCACACGTCCCAGTGAGCCAGCGCACTCTGTGGCTCCTGATGGACGTGGCACGTGTCATGTGCCCCTGCGAGCCATTATCATCAGTGTCACCCACCTGCCTCCAGTGTAAAACCTACTGCTGCCAGCAGTCTGGAGCTGGGGGAAGGCATTTATTTGGTGATTTCCAGCAAGTTGGTCGGGTATGGGACGCCTGTGCTGGGCCTCCTTAGCCAGAGGAGGGTTGGGTTGGGGCCCAGGAGGCTCGCAGGGTTCCTGAGGGGGACTTGGGAGCCCAGACCTGGAGCCCAGACCTGGAGCCCAGAGCCTCAGGTTCTTATCCAGGGACAGGTGACCTGGGTAGGGGACTTGGCCTGTAGAGTACAATGTGACACCTGGGGGTGGAGCCTCCAGCATGCGCCTTGCTCACAGCTCAGTGGCGGCCTCTTCCCAGTGCCTTGTCCCCAGGGCCAGCCCGAGGCAGCCTCGCCAGCTGCTGCAGCCTGGCCAATGTTCACAGTCATTTTATTCTAAGCTGTGTTGAGCCCTGCTCCCCAGACGCTTTCGGCCCTGGGTGGCGTTTGCTTGTGGGATTTGCATCCTGGGGACGCTGTTGCTAGGACCTCCTGCAGTGGGGGTGCCCCAAGTCCTGTGTCTGGCCTGGAGTCGTTTGGCACGCGTGGCGGATGGCGAAGTGCACTGGTCATCCCTTGCTGCGTGATGGACACCCTGGGACCCGCAGCTTCTGCAGTAGCAGGTTCTGTGGTCGGAGCTCGGCAGCCCTGCTGGGTTATGGCTCAGGTATCCTTTGGAGCTGCAGTAGGTGCCACCTGGGTCGCAGCCCCTGGAAGGCCCACTAGCAATCAGGACTCGGCCTCTGAGGTGGTACACACAGGGCCATGGATGGGCCCAGGCCCTCACCTGGGGCTTCTGCCCTGGACGGCTCGATTGTCCTTCCAACATGGTGGCCAACTTCCCCAGGACGAGGCCCAGGAGAAAGCTGGATGGTTGGCCAAGGTGACCTGTACCCTCCCCTCCTCTCCAGGCCAGCCCTGACCTCTGCCCGGAAGAAGCAGCTTCCCCGAAGCAGACCTCGTCCAAGATCCTGGTGCGGAAAATCCCCTTCCAGGCTGACCGCAGGGAGATCCGCGAGCTCTTCAGGTGAGCTCTGCCGCGGGAGGGTCGTGGCCGCCTGGGCAGGGCCGCCGCTGGCTGGGCTGTTCTCATGGGTCAGCACTGTGGGGTTCAGAGGTCATCTTCTGGCTGCCTTGATTCATCTCCTGTGACCTCGGAAAAGTCAAAACATCCTTCCTCGGGTGGGAGGGGGGCGAGCCAGTGTCCCCCTGGCTACCAAGCAGCTGCAGGAGGCAGGTCAGCATCGCTGGTGACCCAAGGCAACTCTGCTGAGGCTCTGCCCGGAGCTGGATCACCAGACACCAGCCTCTTGATCCAAGCTCCCAGGGCATCATCCTTTCCAGCCGGTAGTGGACCCCTGGGCTCAGTGGCTCCTCACAGGATGCCCACCCGAAAGGCAGCAGACCACCTGCTTCCCATGCCGCCTACTAGCACAGGAGCCAGACGCGGAGGGGACAGCAACCAGTGGATTGGGGGCTGTGGGGACGCTGCTGGCCCATAGTGATTCCACAGAGGAACCCGGATTTCAGACCAGGTCCTGTCGCATTTGGAAGGAGGACCCGGCCGCCCAGTCTTAAGGGAATCTAGCAGCTGGCTCCACGCTGCACAGAGCAGAGCCATCTGCGGGGGCGGCCACTGTGTGCTCTGTGTCCAGGCTTGGCTGGGGTCTAAGAGTGCTTAGGGTCTACCGTGTGGGTGACCATGGATAGGAGAGCAAAGTCCCTAGAATCACCAGTTAGCATCTGGCAAGGCAGACCATGTGCAAGAGGAGACAAGAGTGACCTGTGTGACTGTGCCTTGGGTGCCTCCCTGTGGATGGGGATCCACTCCTGCTCCCGCCCACCGTCCTTCATCTCCAGGCTCCACTGGCTGGAGCTGGTCTGGGCAGCAGGTCTCCCATGGTTCTGGTGCCCTGCCTGGCAGGATGGGGTCACGACTCGGGGGGTTATTTCCCTGCATGTGGAAGGAGCTTGAGGTCGTGGGTAAGGTGAGGGCCGTGGCGCGTGCATCTGCGTGTCTCCACCGCTTCTGCTTCTTGAAGAGTCCAATTTAAGACCCGCCGGATCAGCACAGGCTGCTGAGAACAGCATGTGTTGATCAGAAAATAATGTCCCTGGGAAACACAGTTCCTCTTGGCTCCGTGTGGGCGGAAGGACTTCTTTGATCTCAAGCTCAGTGTCTATTGTAGGAGACCAGGACTTAAGTGTCCCCTGAACATAATTACCGGGTCCCCTCCCTGCATTGTCCTGGTGGAGTTTCCCAGACCTGGGATCCAGGCCCTTCCCTCTCCTGGCTCCCTCTCCAGGCCTCCTGGGTGGCACTGGCTGATGGTTTGAGACAGTTCTGAGTGGCGGACAGCAGGGGTCGCTGTGAGCCTGCTCAAGGACTGAGGCTCCTCCAGGAAAGCCCCAGATCTCAGACAAAGCCACCAGCCAGCAAAGGTCACCTGCCAGGGGAGGACCTCAGGGCTGGGGGACAGTCTGGTGCTCTACATCAGGCTGGTTCTGCAGGGTGCCCTCCCAGGTGTAGGAAGAACCACCAGCCCCTGTGTGGCACGCTCTCGATATTGTGTCTGTGCCTAGCGCCTTCTGTGCACCTGTCCCCCTGTGCCACATGCAGCCCTGTGAGGGAGGAGTGGCCACCCTATACCCGCAGGGAGACTGGAAACGAAAAGGGCAGTCCTGCCTGGGACCCCACCACCATGACGGCTGAGAGTTTCAGCTGGTCTGACCCAGAGTCGGGCTGGGAAGGCTCCTCTCTGCCACCCTTTGTCTTCCTCCCGGGTCTGGAAGGGCCTGTGGTCCCCTGGTTGGTCTGAGTGGGGACGCTGTGCCTCCGCCAGCGTGTCGTTTTTACCAGGTGCCGTGTGGGGCACCACGTGCCACTGTTTCAGGCAGCCCCAGGCCCTCCACGGCCCAGAGCCTGTGGAGACTCGGGAGGGAACCCACGCAGCAAGCTCCCCTGGCCCCAAAGTCCTCGGCTGGGCCCCCCAGGGCTCTGCCCTCTGCACTTGACCACACTGTGCTCCCACCCGTGAGTAGTCCATCCTTGGTGATGCCCAGACGGGCGCCAGAGGCCCTGCGGACCCTCACTTCCTTGGGGTCATTGTGGGCAGCTCAGGGACTGCTCTGGGAAGCTCAGAGTCCACACACCTTGGAGCAGGCTGGGCAGAGCGGCCCCACCCCCTGCCCGGCCACTGGCTTCCTGGGCCTCGGTTTCTCCTGGCCTCAGACCACACAGAGCTCATGACGCAGGCGCCGTGGTTCCCGATGGTGCAGGGGCGACCTGGTGGTCCTGCGTGCTGGGCCAGGATAGGGGACTGGGCTGTTTCCGTCCTCGGGTCCCGTGGTCATCAGAGCCTGTGGTTTGTTCTCAGCCCCATTTCCCAGTAGGGAAACCAGCTCCTGAGCCCGAGCCCTGCCCCCTCAGTCCTCAGGCACCTCAGACTGTCACCCTGCTCCTTCCCTCACTGCGTGGCCGCCCTCCCAGGAACTGTTCAGAGGCTGAGATGAGATCAGGCACCTGGCAGGAGCAGCAGACGGGAGGACCTGCCAACAGTGTCACCCAGGGCAGAGCCTTCGGTGGCAGGACCGAGTCCTTTCCACTTGCCTCCCTCTCTAGTCATGTCCCACCCTCGTAGCCTCCCGAGCTGCCTTGGGCCAGGCTCTAGGGAACCTGTCCCCAGTTCTGCTGCTCCTGCCACCTGCCCAAAGGCACTGTGGTCACAGCTGGGGGCCCCAGACTCTGCAGGGCCCCAATGCACAGTGGCTCGAGCAGACTCCACCCCACAGCCAGAGCAGGGCAGAAGAGGCTTTGGCCCCAGCAGGTGCCCAGAGACCTATGTCACTTCAGATTCCTAAATAAGAAAGGAAGTTTGGTCCAGATGTCCCTGTCTGGTCCGCCATGTGCCCTTCCCTAGTCTCCACCTGAAAGTCCCCCGGGCGGAGAGGCTGTGGGCTGGGGGCGTGCAGGGCAGGCTCTGGGGCCTCTGCCCTTGGGCACCAGCCCCTGTGCACAGAGCTGAAGGGCTCACTGGACAGGTCTTGCTTCTGCCCATGTTTCACCTGGTGGCCTTCCATACCAGGGCACTTGTGGGGACAGTGCTCGGACAGAGGTGGCCAGGACTGAGGGCACTTGGGAGGCCTCGGGGCTGGGCTGGGCATGTCCCCATGCTCTCGTTCATTGTCCCTGCAGCCCAGTGTGCTGGGAGCACTGTTGGATACTGGTTCTGGCCAAGGCCCTGGCGCTGGCAAAGGTCCCTAGAGGCCTCATCCCCCTGTGTCAGTGGCCTTCCTTAGGGTGGCCTTGCTTTGAGTCCTGGTTTCTGGAAGGCAGTGGTCTCCCTCTTCTAGGAAGGAGGTTCTGTGACACAGCTGTACCCTGGGCAGGTGACCGCATGGCCACACAGGCTGTGGTTATGGTTCTGCTCCGGCCTTCGTGGAATCCTCCGTTTTTGTACCAGGGCCTGGCCGAGCACCAGGCTCCGTAGGTCCCTTGGTCACCTCTGCCTGTGGCCCTGGAAGGATCGCAGCTCCCAGCCCCGGCCGCTCCCTCTGCCCTGGGCAGTGTTTCCAGCTCTCAGGGCCTTGGTCTCCTGTCTGAAGAGGGAGGGGGAGCATTCCTAGAGCAGGAGGCAAAGACCAGGCCGTGGGCCACCGCCTGCAGGCCAGCCCCAGAGCCCCCGCACACGGCTTCCCGCTGGCTGCAGGCAGCCGCCCCTGAGGAGCAGCTTGCTGTGGGCATCTGTGAGGGTGCAGCGTTCTGAGTGGGGTCGTGGGTGCTAAAGTGTTCCCCACTGGAAGGGCCAGGTGACAGCTGCTGTCCTCCCTGTGTTCAGAGGGGCTGCGTTGCTGAACCCACCCAGGATCCCTGTGTTCTTCCTTGTCAATTTACAGATGTGGAGGCTGAGGCCTGGGGACTCTGGGCTCCCAGGTCACCAGCTGGTCACTGTAGGACTGCTAAGAGCCAAGTATATGATGCATGGCATTTTTGGTCGAAAGGTGACACCAGCTAGCCATTGAGATGATATGATTATGTTAAGATTTGCATTCATATGGATATTGGATTCCTGCTGTTCACCTAGGCCGGCTACAGGACTCCTGGAGAGTTCCCATTGGTTGGGGAAGTACAGTAAGAGGGAGTTCCGGGGGAGGAGCGCTCTCTGCGGTTCCGAGAGGAGGCCGCGTGGGTGGAAAAACAATCTTCCGGGGTGGTACCGGACATTGGCGGCAGTTTCAAAAAATAAACTTTGTTCCTGCTTGAGTGGCTCGTGATTTTGTGCCCAGCCAGACTGCGGCAACTGGCGGCCCGCACAGGGAACGCCTGAAGCTTGGAGGTGAGTAAAATTGCTCGCCCCTGAGGGAAGGCAACAAAATGGGTGACCATTTCAAAAAACAATGTGTTCTCGTTTTGATTTATCTTGTTTTTGTTTCAAGCTGCCTATCCCTAGAATTTTCTCAGGCAAACTGGGAAAAATGGTTGGCTCAAGGTTTGAAGTTGTTCGGCCCTGAGAAAGAGAAAATTGATACAACTATTCTTTGTTCGGTTTTTGTTTCATTCTGTTTCGGTTTTGTTTTATGCTATCTTATTGGGTTGCGTTACCTTTATAGTAGATTAGAAACTAGTAAAAAACAAACTGAAAGACTGTTAAGTAAATTGTTAGAGGTCCAGACTATGGTAGAAAACATGTTAGGTCAAGCGAAAGAGAAGGTCTCTCAAGCTAGTCAGACAGAGGAAGATTTGAAGAAAGAAAGCTTAGAGGAAAAACAACCAGCAGGCAGGGAATTACAACAGGAGGCTGCTACTAACCCCGTTCTATCACCAGAGGGCGTAATTCAACCAACAGCTCCATCTACATCTGAGCGGCCCTCAACTCCCGTAGTTGATGGACGGAATCCTGAGGCAGGACCCCAAAGATTAGCATGCCCTGTACTTGAGCAGGCAGGAGGGCAACGAATTCACTGTGCTTTAGATTTCAAAACAGTGAAGCAATTAAAGGATGCTGTAACAACCTACGGGCCGCAAGC